TGAGATTCTTTTGGGGGGAATTAAATGGAATTTTTCATGGAAGGAATTACATTCAAGTTAAACCAGAGCTTTACACATCAAAATCCATGTTCTGATATTACGGTCTGAAGAGCAAACTCCGCTTACACTGATCTGCTAGGATTATGTGACTTATCAGCTGTTACTGTTGTTTTATCAATGAGAGAAGATCATTCATGTAGATACACTGATGACTCTAGAACATTTAATCTTAAAGATTACCTTGGTAGTAAGAGTTTTCTGTTTCTAAAAATGTATACCAATCTCCACTTGAGCACTGCGGAGATTTTATGTCAAATGAGGAAGGAGTGAGTTGAAAACTTCCTAGCATGTCAGAAAAATGTTAGCTCTTATTGAAATTCTTGAGAGAAAGGGAAAATGACTACATATAGGTTATTTTTGTATAAAGCTTAAAAATTAATTTATGATAGAGATGAAATAGCATGGGCTTAGCTGAGAGTTTAGAAAAGTCCTCCTACTCCATAAACTTAGGAATTATGCCCCAGTTGTAGTAATGACTAACTCAGCAGAGATTTTTTCATTGGTGAACTGTTTTTTGTGGCCCTTAGGAGGGTTGAGCATATATTCCAGAGTGGTCAGTGAAGCAGAAGCAGAAGGAGATGCCAGGCCCATTGTGGGATCTTATTTGGGACACACTGACAGCAGGCCAATAAGCTGGTAAACCACTGGCAAATAGGAGTAGAGCTGATGACACACTACAAGGTATGGCCTTGCCAAATAAGGAAACTCAGTTATTACACACCATTGCTCATTTATTCTTGGAGTTTTCATCTCTATTTCAAAAGAAACTGGCAATCTTGTAGTTCAGTTTAGAGAATTGTTTATAACATTCCTGGCGCTAGAACAGAACATTGATGATGTTCTCATGCCTCGGGGGAGAGAACAGAATCCATGTCCAGGTATCCGTGAATAATGTGTTTGCTTGAAGCTCTGCAGGCTTAGGGAAGGCCCATTCTTCTACCAACACTTGTCATATCTGTTATAATTACATTTTGGTTTCACCATCCTATTAGACTGTGAACTCTTCAATAAGAAATAGAAAATTATAAAAATGACTCATGTAAGCCGTGAACAACTAGTTAAGAATAATAAATTTAAGTTCTGGAAATTAGCTAGCTCTTAAATGGTAAATAAAAGCTATTTTTTTTCAGTTTTACTGTGATATAATTGACATATAGCACTGCATAAGTTTGTGTGCAGCATAATTATTTGACTTACCTATATTGTGAAATGACTGCCACAATAAGTTTACTTAACATCCATCATCTCATATAGATGCAAAAAAGAGGAAAGAAAAATCATGTGTTTTTTTTCCTTATGTAAAAGTTATTTTAATGAGGTGTTCTCTTAAAAGTAGGTTTTGATTTAACAGCATCTTGATAAACAAAGGCCAGTTCCAGATTGAGCCAAATTTCTCCTAAACTCTAATCTTATTACTTTGAGGAGCAATTGGCCCAGCATTGCACACATGTTTTACAAGGCTCATAAAATAACCTCTCCCCTGAGCTTCTGGCATCCAGGCATCCAGGTGCATGTGACTTAGTAATATTTGCACAGCAGTATCCTGCATGCTTTGAGTGATGTTGCCATTTGCTGGAGTTCTCAGCAGTGCGGCTCTTCCACCCAGTTGCAACCAATTTCACTGATCAGTAGCTCTGGCTTAGCTTCGCTCTCATAAATGTAATAATTCACTTGGCAGGTACAGAGCAGATAGATCTCAAAAAAAAAAAATGTTCAGGTTCTTGGAAAAGCCAGGAAAAAGACTCACTGATTTTTTATTAGCTTTTGTATCCTGACATTTAATTTGGGTAAGGGGATGATGCAGTAGTTCAGGATGCTCAGGCACCAGATATCTTTTTTTAAATTCTTCAATTTTTATTCTTCTTTCCTCTGTGAAATGATTCCAGTCTGTGAAATCCATTTAAGAGTCATGGATATCAACAGGTTGTTGAATGTGGCCAGTCAGTGGACCACAGAGCTGGGCTAGTGATGAGTAGGAACAGAGCATCAGCTTTGTGTTGGCCCTCGACATTCCTGGGGGTACATGCAACTGCTATCATACAGAGACTTGGTTTATATTATACAACACACCACACACACACACACACACACACAGCCAGGCTGTCTGGATCCAAATCTGTTACGTTTCTTATTAGCTGAGTAATCTTGGTATATTATTCAGCCTCCTAGTGTCTCATTTTTTATTTTCAGAAATTGACATTTTCTCTCTCATTGTCTGTGAGGATTCAACAAGTAAACAGATGTAAAGTAGTTTAAAAAAGTGCCAGGCATATAAGAAGCTCTCAATGAATGTTAACTCATTAAAATTATTATCATCACTCTCATGTAAAGATCTTTCATTTATAATTTTTCTGTATAGCCAAAAATTAATATTTTTGTTTTCTTAATATTTTTTAAATAGGTGAGATGTTCACATGGTAAAAATCCACACAAAACTAAAGTATATATAACAAGAAGTTAAGTCTCCTTCCTATTTCTGCCCCCATGTCCTTTTCTGCCTTCTCAGAGGTAACCGTTCTTTCATTTCTTATGTATCTTCCAGAGATGTTGGGCTGGCCAAAAAGTTCGTTCGGGTATTTGCAAATTTTAGAAAGATCCGAACGAACTTTTTGGCCAACCCAATATCTGTATGTAGCAATGAATTTACTTAAATCCTCTACCTAGAATTTTAAAATATATTTTGAATAAAAATTGAAGATTATTTCCTCTAAGGGAAAATTAAATTGGCCTCATTTGGATTATGACTAATCAAAATAATAGTAATCATAATTTGAATAATAGCTATCTTTTTTATGTAGCAGGAACTCTGCTAAGTTCTAAACCAAAAGTACTTGATTTAGTACCTGCAACAACCTTCTGAGATGAGTATTATCACCATCCCCACTTGACACATGAAGAAACTGTTGCCAAGAGAGGCTAAATTTCTGAAGATCACTCAGCTAATAGGTGACAGAGCTGAGTTTTGAAACCTGTGCACTTAAAATTCAAGAAAGTTTCAGTAGAAGCAAGAAATCTACCTATCTTGGATTTCCTTTTTGGAAATACTTTTTGTATCTTCACTTTGATTTCTCTTACCTGTTAAATGTCTTGACCTGGGAGAAAGTGCCCCCCAGTCTGGACTGCTCACACAGCCTCTACTTCAGTTCATCCTGCACCTTGTCTATTATTCAGCCTTTTGAAAATTCCACTTTACCAGCCTGTAGTAGTTGGTAGTTAGTTCCCTGATCTATAGCAGATAGTCCTATTCCTCCTTGAATCTGAGAATATTTTGACTTCCCGGAAGGCAGGGGCTGTGTCTCTTTCATTTCCTATTCCCAGGGCTGAGGATATTTGCTGGCACATACTTGTCACTGAGCAAGTGATGGCTGAATGAATGCATGGATGCAGGCAGTGTTTGCCCATGAAGGGGACTTTGGATATCACTTTCTAGGATGTGGGTCCAGGAGAGCAATGGCAAATTCCCTGATGCTAGAGAATTGTAAATGTAAAATGGGAAATTCTGGTCCATGAAACACTTTAGCAAATCTCAGGGACCTAAAGGTCTAGGTATGATTACTTTCAGGGCATACTAGTGATGTAATGCATGTACATGTGAGAGCATCTTCTCTGAGCCAGAATTGTCTTCTGATATGTCATGGAACAGTCTTCAGGAGTGTACTTTTGAGCAGAAGGCACTAAACATTGTCATGCTTATTGGATTTGTAGTGTCTCAGAGTCATTTTGTCTTTCACCACTGAAAGACTGATCTCACTAGGCAAACTGAGTCAGAGCAGTTTTTTAGATCTGTTAGCATAATTTCTTATTTATTTTTGAGGAGGAAGTTTGGGTTTTCAGGAACTGGAGGAAAGCTAGACAGAGGGTTAGAGATGGAAGGATTTTTAAATGTGTTTCAGAAGTAAATGACAAGTGAAAAAATGATGGAAAAGGAGAAATTGTGTTCAGCTTCTGGCGTCTGTCTCCTCTCTGCTCTTCAGCCTCAGCACGACCCTTTTGTACTCAGGAAAGCCCCTTGGTACTCATGCAGTCCCTTCCTCTTCGCTATGAGAACTTGCCTTCAGACAGTTGTCTATAAAATTCCAGTATGCTTAAGTGTGATTGACCAGTAGTTACAAGGGCAAATACAAATTATAAATAAGAGGCTTAATTCTCCCTGTTGAAAATAAGGGAAGAGACTTCCCACTTTTCCCTTTTCTTAGAGCATTTACTTTAGAAACCTTGTAATTTTAAGTTCTTTTTCCATCTCTTTGAAATGTATGTGAATCTTTTTAAAGCTAAATAAGCCTCTTGTCAAAAATGTCTGTCTCAAGGACCTGGGAACAATCTCTTTCAAATGTAGTCAATTAAGGTAGATAACACCCCAACTCCCCAGTTTCTGTGGGAGGGTAGGAATCTATGTTCTGTGCACACTTCATTCCAAGTTGCAGTGATACCTCCGTTCAAAAAAATGAGACGTTTACTTTTACTTTGGACAAAACCAATTAATGAACACAGATATTACGGTGATTACCAGGTGAATATAGGATGAACTGTGTGACAAATGGTGCTGTTGGGTCCTCTTACTTAAGGACTAGTTATTGGTTGTCTTGAGCACATGTATGTAATGGGTTGTATCTGCCCAGTGACATAGAAGGGCATGAACTTCCTTTCTGTCTTTGCAGTCTCTTCAGGGACTACCTGTAATGCTTATCACATTCTGGTTTAATGCTTATTCAGCAATACAGTTGTTTTCTTTCTCTTTTACTTTTGTGGAGAGGTTTTCTGGGTTGGGAGGAGATTTTGTTTCAAATTTTATTTCCCTGACACAGCATACTGTCTGTTCAGAGGCAACTGTATTTTAACTGGGGCTAAGCTTTAAAGATTAAGACATGAATTACTTACTATAGAATTTCAAGCACCAGTAAACTGAAATGGGGAGTTTATTAGGAAGACTGGGACTAGTCATGGCCAAAGAATACCTGAAGCTCTACCCAAAAGCCAGTCTCTTAGAGGTGAGAAGTGCTTTCCTGGGGGAGAACAACTGCCCTCCAGCATTTGACTCACATTTGAGGGACATCCACACTCTCCAAACATTAAAAGAGAGCAACTTATCCTTGTTCACAGGAGTTTCTCTGGCCTGCAAATCCAACACTGTTTCCCCTTCTAAATTTAAATATTTTCATTAAGTAACAAAAGAAACACACATTAAAGATAACGTATTTCTTGAGCAGCTCAAGTAGCTCTTTAATGGGTCCCTTTCCAGCTTCCTCGACAATCTTTCCTTAGTTTTGGTGGCACTCAAAGAGTATATTGTAGTTTTCCTGGCTACTGGTGATATCATCCATTAGGTTTATGTGTCCCTGTGTCTTATAGAGACCGTGACTTATTCATCTCTGTCCCCCAAACGTCTGGGTACATACCAGCTGCTCATTAAATACTTGGATAAACAAATAAATACATGAGGACTTCCAATGTACAATGCATTATAACACACAATGAGGAATACATAGATGATAAAAAATAGCTAACGATTCTTTAGTGTTTACATAGTTAATATTGAAAAAGCCTGACTCATGGGAGACTAGTATCATCAAACAGCTTTGTTATCTCCCACTCCCACTTTGAAATCCTCTCTGTTGGATTGGATCCTCACCTACCCCATATCTTTCATGGCTATGATTTGGTAAGACAGAGTACTGAGTTATAATTACCATCTCCATTCTTATATTAGAATATATACTTTGAACTTGTTTTAACATTGAGGCTTCTTCTCCCCAGCTCAGGTCTGACAAAAAGTGGCGCATTCTTAGGGAATGGAGGGTGATCAGCTTCTCTTACCTCACCTCACCTGAGATTTTACCTACTTGGGATTTTATTTGTATGGAGTTATGGGATGCCCTCGGGCTGAGTTTCCTCTGGTCCTGCCTAACTTAGCAATTGGCAACTTAGTTTTATTGGTTCAGGTAAAAACTTCGGAGTCATCCTTGACACCTATCTTTCTTCCATGTGCTACATCCAATTCTTCAGCAAATCTTTCAGAATACTCCCACATCCAGCCATTTCTCTTGCAAACGCCACCCTAGGGTCGCGTCCCCCTCGCCTTTGTTTAAATTGCTGCACTGGTTTTCTACTTGTTCTTCCTGCGGATTCCACCCTCCATCTGTAAGGCTACTTTCCACATAGTACCCTGAGGGATCCTTTCAATATGGTAGATTTTATCATTTCATTCTTTTATCCTAATACTTCGAAGGTTTCCCATTCCTCTGAGTCATGAATCTTTAGGCCAGCTGATTTGAGAAGAGAAGGTACAAATGCGTCCTGTGACCCTGAACGTCCGTTTTTGTAGATAGCAAGTATCCGCAGAAAAAGGATTAGGAGGCTGTCGTTTCGCGAGTCGGCCCCTAGATGGCACTGTGGGCCCGTGCAGATTTCTGCCCTGCTTGTGCTTTCCCGGGAGCGCAGACAGCTCCGTCATTTCAAGCTGAACACCTTCTTTGGGGCAGCCTGGACTAAAACGGACTGAAGTGCCTGCTCTTTTTCGTTCTTTCCTCTTCTTCTCACTCCCATTTTTAAAAGGGAACAAATTGTAACGTAAAAGAAATAAATTGGGAAGATTCTGAAGGGGCTGGATTCTCTCAGAGAAACAGTTTGAAGTGTCTGCTGTTTGAGAATACAGAATAACCAGGATTCACGCCCTGGAGGTTGGAGGATCCGGGAGGGGTGCAGCGGGGAGAGCACTCGAGCCCTCAAGAACCTGGCCTCCCTTGAGGGGGCTTGTGCGCGACCCGAGGGGTACCTGACTAGAGGAGTTGGCAGTTGGGGAAAGAAGTCCAAAAAGTTTCATCCCAATTCGTCACTTTTACAAAATGTATTCTTTTCTCTGAGGCCGAGCTTCGGCGAGTACAGAAGTTAGGGTTTGTCAGAAGGCGGTCTGAGGCGAGCAGGAGTGCGCTGGCGGCGGCGGGTTGAGGGAAGCGGCTCGTTGGCCCGGGGCTGACGAGGAACTGAGCCTGCGCACACGGGGCGGTGGGTAGGGGAGGGTTCCCTCAGGCGTCGGAGTGAAGGATGTGCGTGGAGGGCAGAGCCCCCGGCCTCTGCCAGGGCAGACACGGCCCGGAGCCGTGTCCGAGGAGGAGCCGGCCGCCCTGAGGCCCGCGGGCCGTGCGCGGGAGGACGCGGCGCCCCCAGCTACCCGTGACGCCCGCGCGCTGAGGGAGGATCCGGCGGGGCGGCGCAGAGAGCGCGAGCGGCCCAGAGGACGCCCGACCCCCTCGCCTCGCGAGGCCTGCGCGGGAGAACCGCTGAGCCCTCCCGGGTCTGCAGGTGGCCCAGCCGGCTCCTGTCAGGCTTCTTCAGGTGGGGCGGGGGACCGCAGGGACTCATGCAAGTTTAAGACTGGAGACACCCGAGCCGTTGGTTGTGTCCCGGTTTGGAAACAGTCACCACAGCCCCTCGTCGCAGCTCTTTCGCTTTCTGTCGTGGTTTCTTGTGGAGGCTAGAGGGCTCCCTGAGTTTCCTCTGGGTCATGCCTGCTGTATGGTTTGCGCGACATAGAGAAAAATGAAATTGTGAGTTCCTTGTGAGAAATTTAAGAATTTCAAGGCGGTGGCAGCACAGAATTAAAACAGACTGGTCCTCACAAGTGTGGCTTATGGGCCATGTGTGAATGCTCAGGTGTCACTCATCAAGCCCGTGACGCCAGCCTTGCCTCCGGGCGCCCCATTTTCCAGTGTTAAACCGGGGTATGCTTTTAGCCTCCTCTCTCCTACTTTCTTAAGCTTTAGGGGACATTGTTGTTCTATCTTGGACCTATGGGGAAGGGCTCTCAACAACGGGTGAAAAGAACCACTAACTTTGTAGAAACCATGCTCCTAACCCCTTTTCATTCATGTTAATTTAATGTCTGCCTTGATATCTTTCAAAGGAGCGTACTCAAAATCGAGCGTTTCTGAAGCCTAGGAAGAGACGCTTTCTGTGTTGTTCTGAAACACGCCGGTAAGGAGGAGAATCCTCGGTATGGAAGAGCTCAGGAGAGGCCACAGTTGAACTCAGACACCAGGAGAGAGAGGCTTTGAGTCTGCCTAAAAGCCATTCGATTTTTGATGGCATTGTGCAGGTATTTGGCTCTTTTTAATGCAAGGAAAAGATGTTAAGTTTCAAAAATGGTTTTTGCCTTTTGATTCAGGGTCTTCCAAATTGTTTCCTTTCTTCCTTTTGAATGAAATTAACTTTCTGTCATAAATCAATTGATTTACTCTTCCTTGGTTACAAAGGAATAAGCATAAGTTTCAGTGCTATAAGCAATTTTTAGTAATCACACCACCTTCACACATAAGATTTCATTTAGCCCTTGCAGCATCCCTGTGAGTAGACCCTCACCTTGCCATTTTCCAGAAGAATGGCAGAAGAATGGAGGCTCAAGAACATAAAGTGAATGACCCAAGGTCATACAGCCAGGAATAAGTGGGGACTTGAGGTTGGATTCTTAGGTCCTTGCAGATCCTTTGTTTCCAAATCTGTGCCAGTTCCACTGCATCAGATGCCTTTTCAACAAACAGTATCTTGTTACACAGATATGAAAGTTCAGGGGTTAAATCCCTTGTTAGAGTCTCTACTTTTTTTGTAGCCAGAGATAGTTTCACAATAGATTAAAATAAAACTCAGTCAGCATTACCTTCCTCTTGAAAACATTCACTTAGTGGTCAGAGTGGGATAGTTTTGGCCTCATTTTCAGGATAGTTACCCATGAAGAAGTCCATGTTGAACTATATCAAAAGTATGCTCAACTGTGCCTTCTCCCATCAGCCAACATCTGTTAAATATATACAAATCCTTTCTGTGTAAATATAAACAGAATTGTCTCAACAATTCATCACTGAACTCTTAAGTCTAGCATCATTTGTTGGTATTTCAGAGATCTGGTTCCAATAAGTAAGATGATCTGTACAATAACTAACATATAAAAGACCTTCATTTCATTTATCATTATTTCATACATCCACAAATATTTGTTAATCTTATATTTATCCCCTAAGTATTGTTAATATGACAGAAAAAAGCACAGGGAACATTCCTGCTCTCATGCAGCTTACATTCTCGTGAGGAATATAGAAGATAAATGGTTAATAAATGCATACATCAGAAAGTTATAATGAGGGCAATGAAGAAAAAGAAGGGATAGTAAGGATATAGAAGGGCATGGGAGTTGGGTGTCATTTTAGCTGAGGTATTTTTACTGAGGTAACCATTGGATATACAGTAGACTCAAATGAATTGGGGGAATAATAAGTACATTTTAGTTATGATTCTTTCTTTCTGTCTTTTTGCATGTTAGGAGCATCTGACATAAAACCTTATTACTCTTGATGGTGACCTTTCTTCCCAGTCCAATACAGTGTTTTCTCTATCATTGAATTCTCTCTAATTTTGTTTTATGCATCTGCAAAGGGGATAATAATACCTCCTGAGCCTTCCTCTCAGAGTAGTTAAGAAGATCAAATATGAAAATGTATGGGAGATGGTTTTGCAATATTAAAAATACAGTAGACTCATAAGGGATAACCACCTCTTATAAATCTGCCTTTCCAATTGACCCTAAGTTGTCTTTTATTTGATTTTTTTAGTGGTAGCCCATGTGGGGCTGAGCATGCTTGTAATATTTTTACTTTATCAGTTTAGAGTCTAGATTTTGCTTAATAAATTTCATCTCTCATGCTTGTCTTGAAGATTGGCTATGACTTTCTGTAGTACTATTGTGAACTAATGTTCTCCCATGCAGCCCATCATCATAAACAACACTTAAATACACTTAACTTGTCCACCACTCCTCATCTTCTATAGGTTATTTATACTGGGATTGAGGGAAAATGTGTCGATGTTTTTATTATGTCTGCCACTGCTAAAAAAGGAAAATCTTCTAGTAGTCTGCTGAATCTTCTTTAGATCATAGTGACCTGTCCAGAGGTGATAGAAATCGTTGTCTGTGTCTTCCTGTTATCAATCTAGCTGCTTCATTACATCCCAAGTCAATCCTCTTTTCTAATTCAGATTTTCCTGGCATCTCAGTAACGCCTTGGTAGACCTCTTGCTTCCTCCTGGCAAGCCAGCTGACAAATGCCAGATATTGGCTTCCTTTGCTTTGTCCTTCAAATATGTGGCCAGATATTTCCTCATGTGGCCATTTGATTCCATGTTTTGTGCACTCTTCAAAGACAGGAGTCTCAGGCACAGAAAATTTTCAGAGATAAGTACATCGATATAGAAATTCTAAGTCTCACTGACTAGAGTAAAATATATGAATCAGATAATTAGAAACTTGAGAGTTGATTCAGATTACAGCTAAAACATTAAACGTCTCTTTATGCCAGATAAATGTTTGCCAAATTTAAATCAGAAGATCATAGAATTATGAGAATCTTAACAATTCTCCTAACTGGGCAAGCAGTGATCCCTTTAATTCAGCCCAGAATTTCAGTTTTTCAGGACATGTCTAAGACAGCCAGGGGAAGTCTCTCCTTCTAAGCAAATTTAAGGGGAAGCTTATTTGTGCCTGTGCATTTTTTACTCAAATTTATGGATTTGGAATTTACAATATGAAACCGAAATGGCAAGGTAGGAACTAATAGCATGGAGAAGAGGAGCAGGTGACTTTATGGAGAGGGCCTCCTGGAGTCTGAATAATACAACCAGTTGTAGAGATCAAGTTCAACTTGAAATGGGGCTCTCAGGGATCGGCCTGTACAGGGTAGAGCTTTCAACTCAGATTGTTTGTGTTAACAGGTTTACTTTATTGTCCCTTGCATTGCAACATCTTTCTCTCAAGTTATTGATCTCTATATAGTTACTTGTTTTATAATATTTTTGATATTAAAAGCTCCCCAAATTTGTCCTTAGAGACAAGTATCCATGGCTGCATGAACCTGTTCTAACACAGGGTCTTGTGCCTCTCCACAAGATGGGATTGAAGACCTTGGTATTCACAAGCAGTTCAGCAGGTTTTAGATATAGTTCTCCATTAAAATGTTCTGAATGCTTTTATTCTTTTCGGCTTTGCTGACTGTGAAATCCAGAGATCTCAAGTTAAACTGGGACTCTACTTTAATATGGCTTGAAAGATGAGATCTGAATCGCGTTGCTTATGACATCTGGGGTACATCTGAAAATCTGAAAAAGCTGTCGCTGAGACAAAAATAGTGAACAAAAGGTAGCAGTGTAACTGACTGCTATGGGATGGTATTTTAATAAAACAAAATTTAAATTTAAGACTCCAAGTTAAAAGTGCACAAGGGTACAGTGGAAAAATGAAGGTGTGATTTGCACTTGAGATGCATGGGCAACTTTGTGTGTTTTCATTCAAGTTAAGTATCAAAGGGATACTTTTTAATGATAGATAATAGGTAATAGTTCTTTGAATATAACTGGATAGGTCAGCTAGCTGAGAAAAAGAAGATAATTTTTTCTGTGAATATTCAAAAAGAAAATATCATTGAAGAGCATGTTTTGAAATCAAGTTAATTTAAGTGTTTTATTTTTAAAAAGAAGGCCAAAGCTATATTTAAATAATAGTTGGTTTCCTCCGTCTGGTTTTTATGCTTTCTGTCTATAGTTGTTGTCAATTCCATAGCTCGGTGTAGCAGTAGAAATATTGATAGAAGTAGCTATGAAAACAGTGAAGCATGACTACCTGTTCCTGCCTTCTACTGTTAAAGGGGTCTTTTATAGCTTCTTACTATTTCCTAGCTCGCAGCTGGTGCTAGGGAAGTATAGCATTTGAGGTCAAAAACCATTTTGTCAGGCTAATAGGAATGATTTTCTCAAGAGTTTCCCTAAAGATGACAGAGTTAGGTGAGAGAGGGCATGTTTTCAGAATGAGAGAGAATTCCTCACATGGGAAAATTCCTCAGGGAAGCTGGTAGGTGGAGATGAAAAGGAATATATCACATTTCTTAGTGACTAGCACTGGGAAGTAGGAGGAGGGTTGAAGTAATCTCTTGTTATCATTCCTTCAACTTCTATGATTTGATTAGTGAGAACCACAAGGAATTAATATTTAGAATATTATAAAACATTATATTTCCTAAGAATTGTTAATGAATGATTCTTTCCTTTCTCCCCATTGCTTTATTCTTACATCCTTTTCTTTCTGGCAAGGTTGCTTCTGAGCTGTTTAGTAGGTATAAAGTCCAGAAACTCCTTATGGAAAAGTATTAAGTGAATAGCAATATTAGAAGGGTAAACAAATTAACACGGGCATGAAGAAAATGTCTCTTCTGAAAAATAAAGTAATATCAGTATTTTAAAAATTAACTTCAAAATAAAAAGTTAAAATGTATGTAAGCACGTTTGCATCAATTAATGTTCAGTTTTGCAAGCTCTGCAGTAAAGCAGTTTTTTTTAAGAACCTTTTCTGCATTTTAGTATTTTATGTGCTAGTACTTGGTTTTCTCTTTGTAGGCCTAATAATGCAGTTATGAGAGACACAGGAAATATCAAAGAAGGTGAATGTAAAAAGATATGCTTAATTTATATTAATTGATAGGAGTTAATTATAAGTGTTTATTGGACATCTACTAAGTCATATGCTTTGGGAATAAAATATAAGATATAGCTCTTGTTCAAAGGTATCAACCACTTAGTTACGATTATAAACTTAAGGTTCAATGAACATAGAGAATCACTGAAAACAAGGTGGTTGGCCCTGACTGCAAGTCTATGTGGAATTTAAAGAAGGGAAAAATCTTGAGTTGGAGTAGTCTTGGGTAGCTCAATATGTTGTTATCATTGGTTTCTCTTTCACTTCCAGAAGGTAGGGAGACCTTTTCTTTCTAGGGGTAAGTCTTCTCTTCATCTCTTGCCTAAGACAGGAGAGTAGTTATTCAGAATCCTGAAGAGTTTTAGGAAGAGAAGGCAAAGGAGGAGGTGGGTAAGATGAGGAGATTGTAGTAAGGAATTTCTGTACATCTGTAGGTGTTCTAAATTAATAAAGTCTGAATTAGAGGAATGGGAATAAATTTTAAATATTTTTTCATTTCCTTCAAGTAAATATAAAATTGTAATCTATTAACTAAGCAGTGTGACCGATCAATGGTCCTATAGGTTTTACTTCAGTGTCAAGACCCGGTTTTCCACAGATGGTACATTTGACCTCAGTTGCTGTTTTAATACTTAAAAAGGGTTTTCTCCAAAATTTCTTCCTTTTTTTTTTTAAAAAAAATCCCTGCTTAATAATACTATTTTTTAGACAGTGGGACAATAAGCTTTGACCTGGATTCAAAGCAAATGGTCACAAATTTGAGATCTGAGTTTATAATCTTTTATTTCTATGGCTTTTTATAGGTGGCTTGCCATTTAACAAAGTTTTCTTTGAGCTCCTACCATATGCCAAACACTGTTATTAGGCACTAGGGACGCAATACAGGAGAGATGGAGTGGTAAATATGACAGTCTCTGCTTTCATGGAGCATGTATTGTAGTTTAAGGAGTGGAGAATGGGAAGAGGGAAAATGAATGAAAAGCAAAAAAAAACCCACCAGATAATTTATGAGAAGTGCTATGGAAATAAAGAAATGGGGTGATGGGTCAAGATTGAGGTGAAGGGCACAGGAAGATATTACATAGAGAGATTTAGATAGAACAGGGAAGGCTTCTCTGTGGAGGTGGCTTTCAAGATGAGACCTGAACAAGGAGAATGGGATGACCATGGGGAGAATATTCCAGGCAGAGGCAGCTAAAAGAGTAAAAACTGTGAAGCAAAAATGAACTTAGTTTGTTTGAGGAATGTGAAAAAGGCTAGGGTGGCTGTAGTGCAGTGACTAACTAGGGAGTGGTATGATAAAATTGAAGAGGCAGCAGAGACTAGATCATGTAGGGCCTTGTAAATAATAGTAAGAAGTTTGTCATTATTCGATTCAATGTACAAAGTATTGGAGGGTATATGTAGGAAAGCAGAGGACATTTATGTTTAAAAAATATTGTTCTGGCTACAACCTGGAGAATGAATTGTGGATGGCAAGAGTAAAAACAGGAAGCCAAGTTGAGGATTCTGCAGGGGAAGCTCCTGGCTATTCCCATTTTTGATGGAAGAGACTGGGGTACAGAGATGCTAAGTGACTTTCCCAAGCTCATACATTCAGGGAGCAGCCAAGTGAACCTTTCTCAATTTAGTCCTCTTTTCCTTATATCCCAGATAGAAAGAACTGGTAGTCTTTGGGTCACTGAGCCTGGATAGGAAGAGCAGAAGATTCGGTGGTAGAAAATTCGATTCAGGTCCTGGCTCTGTCACCTATAAGCTGAGAGAACCTGGAGAAGCCACTTGGTACTCAGTTTCTGTCTACTTAATGATGCCTTTTTCATAGGGTTCTTATCAGATATGAGATATGATTCTTATGAGAAATAAGATACAGTTATAAAAGAAATACCTATGTTAGCAAATGAAATACCTATATAATGCAAATGAAAGAGCTGTAATTATTTAAAAGGCTTTTAAAAAATAACAACAGAAAAGTGGAAACGGGATTAAAAGTAAAGACAGTAGCTTGTTTGCATTCCTGCATTGTAAAAATTGTGTAAGTTCAGGTTAAATTGATCTGGAATATACTGATTCTGTTGTCACTGGCTTGAGACCAATGAAGGGGTCAGTTGTTTAGAACCCAAACAACTGCTGACTCTGGGAAATGCAAATATTTGAGAAGACAGGATATTCACTTAGAATATATACAGAAGGATATACAGACCAAAATGGAGTCTATTAGGAATAATATGGCTTATTAGACAAGAGATTTATGAGGGGAAGGTATTTGTTAATGTGTCATTTATTCCACAGAGGGATGGCAACATGTTTTATGGTCTACAGAGCTTGTTTTCACCTAAAGTAAATATCCAAACTCACAAGGACTCATTTATTTGAGGTCACAAGGAGCTAGACAGTTCTGTAGGGGGTCGGCATGTGTGTAAGGAGAAAATCACACAAGCGATTTGGCTAATCACACAAGCTATGTTGGCCAAAACCCTATGGGTTCGGACTGAATGTTTTACTTTACATCCAAGGTACATTTGTGCCCTGTTGGCACAGCTTAATGCTGATGAACTGGATTTGGAGAAGGAAGATTGTTGTCTCACCAGTTGGCTCTGGGCCATTTTGATGCTTAAAGAAATATTGATCCTGGAACTTTAGAATGCCGGCTGAGAGTGGACATGGGGAGCAGGTCCTAACTTCTTTGACAGTTTAAATAGATTGTGCTGAAAATATATAAACTGTTTGAAATCTGACACATTTTAATAATTGTTGAATTTTGATTTGGAGGCAGAAAGCCTGTGACTAGGAACAATTGCACTAAATTACTTTGCTTATTACATGGAAGCAAATCAGTTACTTAACTCTCGGCTGTTCAACCTTATCTAAATTATTTCTTCTCATTGAACCTTAGTCTCCTAACCTAAACTGTGTAGGGCAATAGCACATCTTCTCTGAGTTGCTGTGGTGGATAAATGCAGTAATATATCTGTAAGAACTGGGTGTCTGGCACACAGTAAGCATTGAATCTATGTGGATTTCTGACTAGAGCAGGAACAATGTGTTAATGGTGGGAAGTAAAAATGGAACTAAGTCTAAAAATACCCTGCAGTTCACTGTCCTTTCTCTTCTCCAATTCTACCTCTTTTTTTTGTTTTAGAATTGCCACTTATGAGTAGAGTTCAGGCAAGCCTGAAGTATGTTGCTGCTCAGAAATGCTGTGTCTGGGAAAGAGACTTAATTCACTCAGCCTGGTAAGAAACCCTCAGTAATGCAGTTACATGATATAAAATTGATTATTTGAACCTGGTAGGAGGTAGGCATCTAGACAGAGTCTCCAGAACAGTCAGGAGGGATCAGAGAGATAAAAAGATCCCATGAGAATGGAAGAAGCTTTTTATATACCCACTGTTAATGAAACTTCATAGAGTTCCATAATCCCTTATCCACAACTCCAAAATATGAAAAGTTCTGGGAAACAAAACTTTTTTTCAAATTGTGCTTGACAGCAAAATATGACCTAACTGACACAAGAACTTAGCTTATTCCACTTAGTATGAATATTCTTAAATTCCCCTAAAGAAATACTAATACTGTTTTAATTACTATAGATTTGTAGTATAGTTTGAAATCAGGAAGTGTGATGCATAAAGGCTTTGTTCCCTCTCAGGATTGCTTTAGCTATTCAGGATTTTTTTGTGGTTCAATACAAGTTTGGGATTGGTTTTCCATTTCTGTGGCGAATGCCGTTTGACTTTTGATAGGGATTGCATTGAATATATAGATGGCTTTGAGTAGTATGCATATTTTAACAATATTAATTCTGCTGATCCATGAACATAGGATATCTTTCCATTTGTTTATATCTAATTTGATTCCTTCAGCAATGTCTTGTGTTTTTTGTTGTATGTATCTTTCACTCTCTTGGTTAAATTTATTCCTCAGTATTTCATTGTTTTTGGTGTTATTGTGAATGGCATAGTTTTCTTTATTTTTCAGATGTTTCATTACTAGTGTATAGAAATGCAACTAATTTCTGTATGCTTATTTTATATCTTGCAACTTTACTGAATTTGTTGATTAGTTCTATTTTTTTGTTGAGTCTTTGGAATTTTCTATATGTAAAATCATATCATCTGCAAATAATGACAGTTTTACTTGGCAGTGATTTTTTGGATATACAGCAAAAGCATAAACAACAAAAGTAAAAATCAATAAGTGGGACTACATCAACCTTAAAAGCTTCTTCACAGTAAAAGAAATAGTGAGCAAAACGAAAAGGCACCCAACATAATGGGAGAACATTTTTGCAAACCATGTATCAGATAAGAGGTTAACATCCAAAATATATTAAAAAAAACTTAAACAACTCGATAACAACAACCAAAAACAAATAATCTGATTTAAAAATGGGCAGAGGATCTGAATAAACATTTTTCCAAAAAAGGCGTCCATATGGTCAACAGGTACATGAAAAGATTTTGAACATCAAAAATCATCAGGGAAATGCACAAAATATCACCTCATACCTGTTAGAATGGCTATTGTCAAAAAGACAAGAAATAACAAGTGTTGGAGAAGATTTGGAGAAAAGGGAATCTTTGTACACTTTTGGTGGGAATGTAAATTGGTTCAGCCACTGTGGAAAACAGTATGGAAGTTCCTCAAAAAATTAAAAATATAACTATCATGTGATCCAGCAATTCCACTTTTGGGTATATACTCAAAGGAAATGAAAACAGGATATCAAAGAGATATATGCACTCACATATTTATTACAGCATTATTCACAGTAGCCAGGATCTACCTATCTATCTATCTATTATTCAGCCATGAGAAAGAAGGAAATCCTGCCATTTTCAGCAACATCAATAAACCTTGAGGGCATTATGCTAAGTGAGGTAAGTCACACAAATACTGTATAATATCACTTATAAGTAGAATCTAAAAAAACCAAACTCATAAAAACAGAGTAAAATGGTGGTTACCAGGGGTTGGAGGGTAGGGGAATAGGAGAGATGTTATTTAAGGGTACAGACTTGCAACAAGTAGATAAATAAGTCCTAGAGATCTAATGCACAGTATAGTGAATACAGAGAGCAGTATTTATTATAACCATCAAACTTGTTAAGAGACTAGATCTCAATTATTCCCACCGTAAAAAATAAATGATAATTATGTAACACTCTGGAGATGTTAGCTCATGCTACAAATGTGAATCATATAACAATATAAAATGTATCAAATCAACATGTTGTACACCTTAAATTTGCACAATGTTGTATGTTAAATATATTTCAATAAGATATAAATTAAAAACACATAATAAAAAATGAAATCTAGTCCCATGGAAGCAAAACGAATTGTCTAAAGGAGTGTGACTGCTTTGCCCATTTGTCATGAGCTGACTGGCTTCTGAGTGGGGTACAAAGTTCTGTAGATACATTAATATTCAATTCTTCCACAGTTGGGAGAGTGACTCTGAAGTTACTAAAACCAATTAAAATTGTTCCAAAAGCTCAGTGGACTCTGACATGGTGGGAAGTTTTAAAACAGAAAATCAGGTCTTGTACTGTTAGCAAAACTGTACTGAGACACCAAGGGTTAACTCACTGCAAGTTGATTTTTTTTTTTTTTCTATCACAAAGAAAGAGCAGTCTATTAGGTAGATCTTTTCATACAGAGGCACCCTTAGTAAGATTTTGAATTCTGGATTTTTGCTCTTTGATCTGCCTGCTGGGTGTCTCAAAGGACTAAATTTTCACTATTAGAAAATTTGGCAGGCAGTGTCATGATGATAGACTTTTTTCATTTGTATCTTTTTCCATTCTTAACTCAGTGCCCCCACCCCTCAAAAAAAAAAAAACAAAAAAAAAAAAAAACAAAAAATAAAAAAAAAACAGAAAAACATCATTTGAGAGAAGCAAGTTTCTGCACATATTTTCCTCTCATGAAAGTTTTCCAATGGTGATAAATCACAGTAATTTGCAGTTATGTTAATATCAAGAATCATCCATTTAAATTGGTAACTCTTTGTTGTGTGTCCCTTTCTAATATATACTACCAAATATAAAATAGATAGGTAGTAGGAAGCAGCCGCATAGCACAGGGAGATCAGCTCGGTGCTTTGTGACCACCTAGAGGGGTGTGATAGGAAGGGTAGGAGGGAGACGCAAGAGGGAGGGGATATGGGGATACATGTATATGTATAGCTGATTCACTTTGTTATACAGCAGAAACTAACACACCATTGTAAAGCAATTATACTCCAGTAAAGAAGTTAATAAATGAATGAATGAATGAATGATCAATTACAAAGTGTGTTTGACTCGAGGAATTATGCTTCAATATTTACTATTAAACAGATTGCTGTAAGATAATCTAATTTTGCCTGATATACTTATGTGCACGTAATGAACAGAAGTAATAACTTGTTATTTGGGGACTGAAGTCGATGAGTCACATATTTTATAATGCATTGCTACTGACAATCTGACTATAATAATCACATTATAACATTAATATAACATGTTTATTCATTACCTCTTGGCATGAATGCAAAATTAATTTTGTTAACAATTTTCTCAATAAGGAAAAAATAAACTGTGCTGATACAACCATAAGAATCCTTAACTTTACTATAACTGTTCTATAATTGTTTTATAAATGTTCATTGCAAAGACTCCCCCTTTATACAGTAAGAGCAGATATATTTGTCCAGACCAGGATGATGAGTGTAATGATCTATTGAGAACTTAAATCATCCTTTTGAAGCATAACACCTTATTTAAAATCTTCTCTTTCACAGAGTATGTTTCAAACTTGATACCTTGTAGAACAAACATTTACTGGAAGGACATTAGTAGAGCACGCCATTCACAGGTGCAGTTAAGCTTGAATTCTGTAGTATTCCAGAGGAGAGATGGTGTCTTACCCATTGGACCTCTCCACTTATTCCACCGCTGACTTCTCCATATCCCCCCATAATAAACCTTTGTCATATTAAGTATTAGGATAAATGGTTTACAATTACTCCAAACTACTTAGAGCACTTAACTTCATCCATCTATTTTTTTTCCTGTGTTATAGAATAGGGATCATCCACTCCCGCAGGAGCCCTGTAAATTTGGTATAGGTACAAGTGTGAATAAAGGTGGTCTCCCGTCTTGGCCCCTTCGCTTTCACTGTTTTATATTGCTAAATAAAAAATGAACAAGGTGATGCATTAGAAATTATGGGAAAAGTAGTAAAAATTTTTTCCTGTTAAAATATTTATTGATTTACTTTGTACAAGAAGATATTGTAAAGTGATTGGATAAATTTTTTCTTTCAAGGGCAAAACACTTTATTAGCTCTTAAGATCGAATATACTTGGGTAGATAGGGAAATAATTTTCTGTGTCTCTTTGTAATAGTGGTTGTCAGAAACAGTGGTTTTTAATTTGGGGGCAGTTTATTAAAATGCAGGCTACCAAGACAGAGATGCAGGACATGAAGGGTGGGATCCAAATATCTGTAGTAGTGGGGAAAAATAAGCACAGGTGATTCTGATGTACATGATTTTCGGAAGTCTATTAGAGGAATGTCATGCCTGTACTTTTATTACCTAATAGTGGAATTATTGCAAATTTGCTAATGTTTCCTTTTTTTTTCTTATTTTCTGGGTTTAACAGCTTTTTGTGCTTTCGTTAAATCTGATCATTTGATCCTTGGTTTGTTAGTCATACTTTTTTTTTTTAAAGTCTCTTTGTCATCCAGCTTAGATCCTAATAATTCTTATGTTTACCTAAATTATGTGTGACAAGAAAATCTACTTAGTTATAATAAATTGAGCTAAACCTTCTTAAAGCTAAGATAGGAAATTTTATTAAGAAAAGATTTTTAAAAAGTTTTAATCTACTTCTTAGAGAAGGGGGAGGGGCAATCTTTCAATTATGTATTAAGTTAGAATTTCATATCCACAGTGCACATGAGACATCAAAGTTCTGAGCTAAAATAATTTCTTGTTAACTTTTAAGTAAGATTTTTATCTAATCCTGTCAGAGTCAGAGGCAGAAACCGTAGGGGTTTAATAAGCACCTTGTCATTGAAGGTCAGGTTCCTAACAGAGCCCTTAATTAGCATGTGGAACATCTTAGGGCTGAAAAATCTCTTGCCAAGTGATTTCTTTTTTGGCCGGTTCACTCATGTGGGTGATAGAGAGCATCAAAGAACTTGTGGCTGAAACTTAATTCCCATTCGTTTCCCATAATATG